AACCCAAGAAATCTCTAACATAGTCAGACACATGATCATGCATTTTTAATTGATAGGCATAACGTATTATTCTGTTAAAAAGTAGTAAACACTTATTAAACTCCTGAGCATTACATCCAGAATAAACTTCAATACAATACAATAGGTTAGACATTAGCAAAGAATGTGCAATAGTTTTTCGAATAGAAAGTGGTAAATACAAATTTAAGGAATATAATTTCCTTAGAGTAAAATTAATTTTAGAGCTCAGAAAATTAATATGTTGGGAAAAAGTTAGATGTTTATCCAGCTGAATACCAAGACATTTGATACATTCAACGAACTCAATAGGTTCATCATCAACTGTAATAGATAAATGCACTTCGGAACCATGAGGTTTAAAAACCATAGTTTTAGTCTTTGCATTGTATTATATTCATAAACAAGAAAAATTATATTAACATTCTTATATAAATGGCATAATGCTTTAAAAATCTGTTCATGTTTTCTGACTGAAGCCTAATACTTGTTACAATAAAAAACCAAACGAAACATACAATTTTATACTAAAAATTACAAATATTTTAAATCGGTTAATCGAGCCACAAAAAAAGGGATAATCTGGTTAACCGAAAATCAATATTTTCAAAAAATCGTTTCACGAAAAACCAAAATATATATTAAAAATCGATTTTTCGGTTAACCACATATGAATGAACAAAAACTCAAACCTTTATAAGCACCTTTTAAATTTACTCAATAAAGTCTTTATAATAAGCAATCAATCAGCAAACGTTTGCGAAATTTATATGAATTTTGGAAAGTATAATCTTCATTCCATAAATAAAAACACGGAAAAATTGTTAAGTTAATTTTTTCTTACAACTTATTCAATCAGTATTGAAACCATTCATAGCAATCATTTAGTATTCGTTGCTTTTGAGAGTATTCGTCGACATTTACAGAAGACAAGCAATACAAGCATCATTTTTCGTTACACTCATTTGTTTTGAATAGTGTCGTGCATTGCATTATTAAATTAGTGCATATTATCATTTCAAGGCTCGTTTTATGCGATTGTATTCATAATCGAAAAAATAAGCATTCAAACCGTTCTCTGATTATTATGGGAAATGTAAGTGATACTCATTTGTCAATTTTAGTTTTGAGATTAACTTTATTTAATTATTAAAATTTAATTCATTTGAACTGATTCGTTAAGTTGTATTTTATTTAATTATTAAAATTTAATTCATTTGAACTGATTTGTTGTCTTTTAGATTCGGGAAAAATTTTGATTACAATAATAGATGTGTAAAATTATAAAAATGCATCTAATATTCCATTCGGTCATATTTGCAAAAAATAAGTATTCAAAATAGCTAAAGAGAATTTAAGTATTCAAAATAGCTAAAGAGAATTTAAAAATAACTTTATGTAGAAGAAAAATTATAATTCTAAAAACGTAGATATTGTTAAAAACATTATGTATGTCCATCCCTGCTTTAGCAGACATGCGACAACACAACCTCGTTCAATGAATGTTCAAACGAGACTGAATGAGTTTTTAGTACGTATGAGCAGCGTTGCCACTCACAATTTATTTTTCTTACCAAAGTTCCGACAAAAAACTACCAAAACGTTACAAAAACTACCAAATTTTTACTTAGGGACAATTGCTTCTGTTTAGAGTTTCATTATTTTTAAAACTAATATGTAATATCATACAATGATTTGTTCTAAATAATCAATGGTTTACTTTTACGTAATTAGACAAAATTTCCAAATACTATATAGTTATGAAATACATAATTGCTGTTTTCGACAAAATTTGTACCAAAATCATTCCCGAGAAAATTGTAATAGTATTATATTCGGCTATGATGCATCACATATGTATATCCACCATCAGCATCTATCGTATAAATTGAGGACTTTATGGATAAATCCTTTTATTATACTACGGTTAACTAATTTGCTATTTATTGATAATAAAATTATTTTCCGTAAAAGGGGATATATGGCTGTAATAGGATCAATCGTGGACCAATCGACATAGATTTCGGTTGTTAAAAAACTGTTTCAACAGACAGACGGGAGGACATGGCTATATCGTCTTAGAATCTAATAAGAACCTAGAAAAACTATATACTTACAAGCGGAATCACAAAATCAATATACCCCTAATTTTATACCCATCAAAAAAGGATTGGGGTATATTAATTTTGTGATTCCGTTTGTAAGGTAGTAGACCCACCAAATTATATATTTATTCATGAATCTGGCTTCTTAGAAAAAAATGAATTAGTGTGGCCTACAGTAGGTTAGTGGTTTATGTTATAGTCAGACCTGACGTCGTGCATTCGATTCCCACCTGAGGCATTGGTGAGGAAGTGCACAACGGGACCGATGCAGGCCTACAAGTATTCCTTCGGATTTTATATAACATCCTCATTTCAAACTAACTTAATAACATTCACGAATCAGAAATGTTGAAATACATAGAAACTTAATATTTTCTTTGAACAAACAATATAAATTTAACAAGGATAAACCTAAGATTGACGTATTTATTAAAATTCTTATTACTTTGCCATAAAAAGGTCAGAAATGTTTATAAATTCATATGCATGAGATCAAAATTATCTCATCCTACCAAATTTGGACCAAAATTTAAACCTACCAACCAAACTACCAAAAGTCATTTCAGAGATTTGAAACTACCAATTTTGGTCCAATTGGACCAAAGTGGCAACGCTGCGTATGAGTAAGCTGTTGTAAAATTAGAAATGGCCGAAAAGCACGCGTGCATAGGAAATGCCTGGCTCTGCTCTATGGTCATATAAAAAGCTTGGTTTAAACTTTCTTTTCAACAAAACAACAACAAAAAACTCCATTTTAAAAATATAGGGGAAAATGAAGTGCCAAATAATGAAAAAATCTTATTCTTGAGTAAAAAATTTATTTAGTTTTTCTGATAGATATCCCACTCTCATCCCAAGCGACTATAAAGCCTTAAAGGGAAGGAAATTGTATAAGCATTCTTTTGAGCAAAAAAAATGTTTGGAAACAGTGAAGAAATTGCTATCTAAACTTCTCTGAACAATTTCTGCAAGGACCAATTGGTGAAAAGTTACACCCATTTGTAAAAACCATGTATGACTAAAGTGTCCACCTTTGACCCCCTCTAACTCCGGCAGACATGTTTAAGCAATTTATTGATAAAAAGTAGAAAAAGTTCTATATTCAAACTAATCTTATGCACCTTTCATCGTGCGTTTTTTAAAAAGTTAATACCTAAATTAAAAAAAAAACATATTTTTTAATTTATGTGAATTTAATATTAATTTTTAAATTATTTTTTATTTTGACGAATCTGTTACAGGTGGTCTCGAGTTTTTTATCATATCTCCGTTATTTTTGGACCGATTTTGCTTATTTTAAATAGCGATCTTCTCGAAAGCATGTCTGTTCATATTATTAAAGATTAGAATCTCGCAGATATCTGGTATCTTCTAAAAAGTGATTTTAACATACGTAGAGACAGTAGGAGGTTATAATAAAAAACAGGTGTTATATGGCGACTAGGGTCAAAAATGAGCCGAACTTCATAAAACATGGTGGTGGGATTGATGGTCGTATAAAAGTTATTTATGTCAAATTTTATCATAATACTAGTGCTTAAAATTGAGTTGTGTTAAGTATTTTTCTGGATTTAAACTATGTATGGGACATAGGGCCATACGTTTTTCTAATTCATAAAATAATTATGAGCTCACAATTATTTTAAGTTGTATGGCGGCAAGGTGTAATAGTAGACCGATTTCAAAAATGTTTGTATTTGGTGTCATAAAATTTGGAGAATAATTTAACCAAATTTTGTTAAATTAGCTTCAAAAATACGAAAGTTTTAGATGCATTTTTCAATTATATTTTACCATTTCATGAAATTGCACATAGGATTTGGGACTAAAATATAATTACAACACAAATACAAAAACTTACCTATACCAATAAGTTCAAAATTTTTCTGAATACAAAATATTTTTCGGAAACTTCTTAAAAACAAGTAGGAAAGTATTGTCGGACATGGCCGACTATGTGATACGCTACACCAAGGGTACATTTTACATATTATTTATTTTTCATAAAAAAATTGTTGAATTTTACCTTAATTCCGATTTATTTAAATAATTTATTGATGAAAAACTTAATTTCTAAAAAAGGCTTTATATGGGAACTATGGGCCGATCCTCAAAAAATAGGAAGAGGGATGTAATTTTATATAAAGGTTAGTTATGCTGAATTTCATCGCGATACTAATGGTTATAAGTAAATTTTGGTCATGAATGCTTATATTAAACTTATTTGTGCAAATTTTTGGTGAAATAGTAGTATATTTGACAAAGTTATGTGTTAAAAATCCCAAAATCGGAAGGCAGGTTGTATGAGGACTAGGTGAAATAATGGAACGATTTCAACCATTTTCAATAGACATCGTCCCGAAAAACTCGTATAGTCCAAATTTTATCCATATATCTTGAAAATTCTGGCATGTAGCTTGCGCAGAAGGTTTAGAAGGTGCTGGCTGTCCATCAGCACAGACAGACGGACGGACATGTCTTAATCTTATGCGTTACAAACATCAGCACAAACGTATAATACCCTCCCCACTATAGTGATGTAGGGTATAATAATCAAGGTACATCCGTATGTGTATTTTTTGAGGGGTAATAGAATCACTTTATCTTTCAGTTGGTCAAATGTATATCTGTATGTAGTCAGCACAACGAAGGAAAACAATACCTGAAAATATGGGACGCTTTCACCAATAAATGCATTTATCCAAGATTGTCTTATTAAAGTTCTATTATTAATTATCAACTCTACTGGAAGATTTAATCAAACCTATTTTCTTTTTCAATTATGATGGTCCTATGCACTATACACAGATATACCTACATATCTACATAAATATACAATTCCTTTTAGCTGCAAAATCTTAATTTCGATGTAGTTACCTGCATTTCATCAACTATCTAGATTCATAGTGGTGGTGTATGTACCTTCAATTGCTGTATATGTATTTAGTATATTGTATCTTTATATTATTATTTTTTTAATAAATAGTAATTGTTAAGCAATCATATAAAAATTTATGAATTTTAAGAAAGTAAAAATTATTTTAAGATGTTTTGTGTTTATTTTTGTACGCTGTTTTCTTGTTGTTTATTCATTGATGAAATTTATTTTTCTTTATCTATTCCATACAAAAACTCTTGGAACTTTACAATATATTTGAATTATTTGTTCAGTTTTGAAACATGTTTTAAATTATATGATATATTTCACATCTTTTAACATATTTTATTACAATTTATCACAAAGAATGTTTTAATGCTTTATTCGTTGTTTTCACTTAACAAAACAAAACTTGCGAAAAGCGCAAAACAAAAAAGAAAATACTCACGGCAACATGGCGGCATTAATACTTTGTAGAAAAACGTGATGCCAGATTAATGTTAGTAAACATGTTATAAGATTAATGGGACAAAGTGTTGTGAAATTGAGAGATTTTAGATTTTAATTAAATTAAATTGATCAAATCAATATTATCGCAACAACCAATATTTAAACGATTCTTTAACATATACTTTCATCATTCTTTAAATATATATATATATATATATATATATATATATATATATATATATATATATATATATATATATATATATTAAACATTGGTATCGCTAAAAACACCACCATAATTTTCAAAAATATTTATAACCAAGTTTTTGGTCGACAATATACGAATAATTATATTAAAACGAATTTTAACGACCCATTCATATAATGTATTTAATTGCAGAAAATTGGGAACTTCTTACCGACACTAAACGGCTCTAATTTTTTTTTAATACGGAATCTACAATAAAATTTTTTTATCGATGTTCAAAAACTGAATACATATATAAAATTAAAACTCTTAGAACTGGTTAGCTTGATTGTAAAAGAGATAACATGATATGAGAGGTTTTTCCACGACCTTTCAGATTATGTACAATATTATATTAATTATTAACCCATTGAGTGCCAAAAGCTAAAAAAGGGTTTTGAAACATGGCTTTTTTATAAAAGTGCCCATAATTCGAAAATAACCCATATAAGCATGTATACATTTCCTAAGTTTTATATAGAAAACATAATTGGCTTTCATTTGGTGCTTATAATATAGTGTTAACCCTTTAAATGCCGAAAATATGTGTACATAGTTGAATATAATTATATTTAAATAAATTAAATTTTGAATGTTAGTATTTATTAATATAATAACTTTTAAGAGCTTTTTCAATGAAATAGTTTTCTAAATGCTATAAACGCATTACAGTAAAAAACTATTTTAAAGTTCTTCATTTTTATATATTTTTAATTTAAATATTAAAAAAATTCACATAGATACATATTTAAATATTTTTTATACCCTACACTATTATATAAAAAAGAGTTGATACATATACGTTTTAGTTATATAAACCATTTAACCATTAATTACATTTTAATTCAAAATTTAGAAACGAAAACGTTTAAATCTTTACACCGTTATAGGTTTAGCCATTTAGTAGCGAATTTATGAAATTCGATTAAGCACAACTAGGGTTTTCAAATTCCTGACGTTTTTTGATTCCCGGGAATCGGGAAAAAATATTCACACTCCCGGTAACCCGGGAAATACCGATAAAATAAAAAATAATTAAAAAAAGCGTTTACGCAATGTTTTTTTGAATTTTTTAAACATATCAGGTAACTGCCGGTCCACACCAGCAAACTATTTTTGGGAAACTTTTGATTTTGCGTCAGAGAGAAAGAGATATCGTTCATCTCTATCGCGGTACAGAGTTTCTCGTACCCGGAACCTCGTATTGTTATTCTTCTCATTCGTACAAAAACCCATCAATGCAATTAAAGCCTGTTCAAAGTTACTAAAAATTATGGTTTTTTCATGCGAAAAATTAGATGTGCAACAAATGTAGTCTATCTCGCGATTTTGGAAAGTTTGTCGCTTTTATTGATATAAGTATGCATCATTGCTTTTAATACGTAAACAAAAACCATATGTTTTTTGAAAGCTGAAAATAAAATACATAAATCTTAATATTATAAACTATTTAGTGCTTTATTTAAAATGTATGAAAATATTTTATTGACCGCTTGTGCAGTAAATTTATTGTTTGTTTATAATTTTTTTTAATGATTTTGTAATTTCAAAATATTTTCGGCTCGAGAAATAATATTTTTGGGAAAAACAATAAAATGTAATCAGCTGTTTGTTTTAATTTCGTGCGAAAGAAGTGCTGCTTATGTTTTTTGTAAGTTGGAAAACAAGGTTGCCAGATAAATTTCACAATGTTTATCACAATAAGAACAGAGTATTGCTTTTGCGAAATTTTTCGCAAATATTTCATACCAAATATTTTATATGTAGTTTGACAGCATTTGGCACGAAATTTTGAACGGAGACCTGGCTTAACACGTAGTTTCTGAAACAAATGTTTCTATGTGTAGACCAGAGATACAAGCCAAGACGGCTCAAATTCGCGGCGGCTTGACGCCTGTAATATTTTGCAAGCCGCGCCGCCGCCGACTTCTTTCGGTTCAAAAGCTAAGCCGGCTTAAACGTAGCCGCTGATAAAGATTAGAATCGCACATGTATTTCAGAGCATAACTTCACCAATTTGAATGGAGTTCCCACTATTTTAAATTCTTATGGCAAATTGAAAAGAGTTGCCACACAATATTGTGCTAATATTAAAATATGTAGTGAGAACTACTATAAATGTCCATTTTCTGCAGAAAAAAACTTATATAGAGACAGGCTTCTATGTAACAGACTATTATACAAAGATTTTTCAATATAATAAACCTTATAAGGTCAATTTCTAAAGAAAAAGTTAAATTGAGCCGACAATTTAGCCGCCACCGATATTTTCTGTAATAAGCCGCCTCCGCCGTCCAAAAATGGTTGCGCCGCCGCCGATCATATCGCATCGGCTTGTATCTCTGGTGTAGACATAAGAAAACTTTAAAAGAGAATTAAAAAAAATTTCTCAACTAAAGTTTGCGTGTGTGGACTGGCACTAACTTAGAAATTTGTACATATATATATATATATATATATATATATATATATATATATATTTATATATATATATATATATTTTATATATATTTTTATATATATATATATATATATATATATATATATATATCTATATATATATATATATATATATATATATATTTTATATATATTTTTATATATATATATATATATATATCTATATATATATATATATATAAACACAACACGCGTTAGGGTGAAAGTACACAAAACGCGTTGTACGCGGCAACGCGTTATAGGCTTCTGTCAAAAAAGTGGAAATAGTGTATTTTCATTTAACAAGGTACACATTGTACTTTGTACTGTCTGCCGAGAAAAATTCAGCAACTTTCAACTTTTGACACGTCGGCAGCTGATCAGAGTTGTATTTTGTTATGTGTAGAATAAGAATAAAATAAAATGAAATAAATTTCTTTAACAATGGAAGAAAAATATTAAAAAACTTTAAATTTTGATTTTTAAAACAGTAATACTTTTTAAAAACATTAAAAGAGAGATGAAAATGACGAGTGGTGTGTAACTTTCCGCTTAAAAATCGCGAAAAGTTTGAAAATTGTGAAACGCGTTGCCGCCTCAACGCGTGTTGTGTACTTCCACCTATACAAGCTTCCGTCAAAAGTTGAAATAGCGTATTTTCATTTAACCAGTTACACACAGTAGTTTGTAACGCGTCTGTCGTCATCAGAGTTGTATTTTGTTTTGTGTAGAATAAGAACAAACTATTATGAAATAAATTTCACCAACAATAAAAGACATATATTAAAAAATAAAAAAAATTTTGATTTTTAAAACAAAATTAAAAGAAAGATCAAAATGACGCGTGGTATACCCGTTAATAAAACAACCTTTTGATAAAACAGCAAACCCTAACAGCTGTTTTTGATTGTTGTGTGGTGAGTTTCTGTAAAAACGTAAACAAATGAAACAAAAACAAATTACTAGACATATTTATTTTGTGCTAAGAAAAATTGATGTATTTTAATAATGTTTTATAGCCAGTGCAACTGTTCTTGGTGTACACCATCTACCCCAATAATAATCCCGGTTTCATTAGAATCAAGTATTTTTAAAACGGCCATATATAATGTGCAATTCATTCTATATTCCATGAATGGTTGAAAGAGTCACGGAATCCATCGGAGATCAACCTAAAAAATGAAAAAGGGGTGGCTTTAACTTCTTGTTCCGTTCATATGGGACAAGATTCGAGCTTCATCGTATCAGTTCGCCAGATACCTCATTTGTGTATATTGCAGGGTCCTGGTACCCAACACAGCCTTATTGTAAACGGTCTCATAATAATACTTAGATCTTTTCTTCATTCTACGACTATGCAAGAATACAGCTATGACATATTAATGCTTTAATTGCAGCATGACTATCAACCTAAAATCTTACCAGAGACCGGCGAACAATGTGATTCCCTATTAGTTCCGTCACTTTCAAGATCGCTAAATCACCACTTGGAAGACACAACCCATCAGGGAGTCAAGGAACATTTTACACCGTTTGTAACACATTGAAATATTGGTCTAATATCCATAAAAGTATATGCTGGGATCTTTTTACAGTCTAAGATTGAGTTTGTTATTGAAAATGGACAATATCGCTATACGATAAACTCATCAGGGAGCCAAGGAACTTTTACACCGAAATATTGGTCTAAAATCCATAAAAGTATAGACTAGGATCTTAGCCAATATTTGCCAAAATATTTTTAGTTGATGGAGTTTATTATTGAGCTTCAATATTCCAGTATAGCGAAGAAAAACGACAAAAACAAGTTTTATAGGAACTAAAATCTTTTTGACAAATTTTATGAGGATCAGGAAATTATTTTACAAGATTTATGTGATCCAAAACCTTTCTGGGTTGGTTCAAAATTGATCCTACCCCCATATAAGTTCCCCTTCAGAAAAAGATATTAACTCCAATAATAATTGTAATAAAAATACCAATATAGCAAAGAAATTCCACATAAACAAGGAGTCAACATCGTTTTGTCAAATTTAAGGGGATCGGTCCATAATTTAACCTATCCCCGATATAAGGTCCACCTCGGGAAATTACTACCACTCATAACTGGCTTAAAAAAATAGCTATAAAATTCGACAACAACTTTTATATGAAACAAAATTTATCTGTTGAATTTTGTAAGGGTCGGTCCACAGTTGACCCTACCTAAAATCTCAAACAGATTATGCCATCCGATTTCTACACTTCCAACTTAAAGTTCTATATATGTTTTTATCGTGCACAAGATCTTCCGATAGCAGT